TAAATAGTAAAAGCTTTATTAAAGAAAAAAAAAGAACTATGAGTCCAATATCAGAATTCTAGGACCAGTTCTATGTTTGACAATCTAGATGAGTCAAACTCTATGAGTTGCCTTATCAGTTATATAAAAGGGTTAGGCTTGCAGCCCTGGCTGCAAACTAGAAGATTCCTTGGGAATCTTTAAAAACAAACAAGCAAAAAAACCAAACCAAACCAAACAAAACAGAGAAACTGACACCTGAGTTAATCTCTAGTCCGGTGAATCAGAATCTCTGGTAGCGAGGCCCGGGCATCAGAATTATCAGTAATTGAAAGAAAGAAAGAAAGAAACCACAAGGTAATTTTATTGTGTAATCATGATTTTTTTTTAAAAAAAGATTTTATTTATTTATTTGACAGAGAGAGAGACACAGCGAGAGAGGGAACACAAGCAGGGGGAGTGGAGGAGGGAGAAGCAGGCTTCCCACTGAGCAGGGAGCCCGATGTGGGGCTCCATCCCAGGACCCTGGGATCATGACCTGAGCCGAAGGCAGACGCTTAATGGTTGAGCCACCCAGGCGCCCCTGTAATCATGATTTAAAACCACTGCACTAGGGCGCCTGAGTGGCACAGTCGGTTAGGAGTCTGACTCTTGGTTTTGGCTCAGGTCATGATCTCAGGGTGATGAGATGGAGCCCTGCATCAGGCTCTGGGCTCAGGGAGGTGCCTGCTTGAGATTCTTTCTCTCCTTGTCCCCCTCCCCCTGGGACTACCAAACCAGATCTGTATGTCAAGTCACAATAATCCTGCAGAAGCAGATGAGAGAGGGACTATGTGTCTGTGAAAGTGCCGGCTGACCACCAACTTGATATTCTAGAAATAGGAACTTCTATAATAAGGACCCAATATTTGGTATATGTCCTTAGTGTCTGCTCAAGTATAAGTTTGTTTCAGGTGTTTTGGTAGTTGTACCTCCTGACGGTCATCGGTTGTTCAATGGCCTGTAGGTGAGATCTAGTCCCTTACTTTTCCAAAGCCAGGCAAGTACCATCTAGGGACAGACCAGACTCAGAGAACCAGAGGTGCAGAGCTAGATCATACCCATTTCCTCTCAGGGGGTTGGCTGATCAGGTACCCTATTTGGTGCCAAAACTGGAAGCAAATTGGATGTTCTTCAGCAGGTGAAGGGCTAAATAAACTGTGGTACATCCATACAATGGAGTATTATTCAGCAGTTAAAACAAATGAGCTATCAAGCCATAAGGACATGAAGGAACATTAAATGCATATTGCTACATGAAAGACACATTTAAAAAGACTACATATTATATAATTCCAAGTATACGACATTCTGGAGAAGGCCAAATTATAGAAATAATATTAACAGATCAGTCCTTGCCCGAGGTTTAGGGGGAATGGTATGGGGGAGCACAGGATACTTTTAGGACAGTGAAACTCTTCTTATGATACTATAATAGTAGATACCTAATATTATGTACAATAAAAAGATGAACTGTACTGTGAACTCTGAACTTTAATTAGGAATAATATATCAATATTGGTTCATCAATGGGAACTAATATACCATACAAATGCAAGATGTTAGTGTAACAGCCCAGCAGCTGATCCTAAGGGTTGACTTGCTTCAAGTTAACACACTCCTTACTTGGTGACCTAAGTCCCTTGACCTACAACAGACTGATTTACTTTCTTTGAGATTTGCAGACCACTGGCCTTTAGGAGTGAAGGACCAGAACTTTCCCAGGCCACAGAAGCCAGCAAGTCTGTTTGAAGCAGTCTCGACCTCCTGATTAGCCCAGCAATTTTTTTAGCAAAATGTTTTTCTTTTTTTTGGTCACACAAGTGATTTTACTGACCTCCCTTTGTATATCTGTAGATGTTGCCTTCCTTTGCAGAAAGAACAGAGTACTCCTGCACATCACGGAACAAGAACCAGAACCCCCCTCACACAATTCCCTGGCACTAAGATAACTTTTGTAGCTGGTATCGTGGAGTCTGCACATAATCAAGGATTGTTGCAGGCCATTGCACTCCCTTTGCAGATTAACTACCCTACACCCCTTAAGAAACCCCTAAGCCGGGCAGAACCCTTGGAGTTGGCTTTTGAACAAGAGTCCACCTCTGTCTCAGGTTGCCAGCTTCCTGAATAAAGCTCAAATTCCTTTCCAATCAAAAACTTGTCTCTTGAGTAATGGCTTTTCCAGGGACTGGCAGCCGAACTTGGGTTCCATAACATTAATAATAGGGAAACTGTAGGAGGGGTGAGGGTGTGGAGGAGGCAGGTATATTAGAACCTTGTACTTTCTGTGCATTTTTCCTATAAGCCTACAAGTGCTCTAAAAATAAAGTTTATTGAGTGAAAAAGAAAAAAAACTCTTGCAGTAAGGGAGGTGACTACTGCAATGGGAGAGGGTGACTATGGCCTTAGGGAAACAGCTCTGATCTTAAGATCTGCAAATGTCTGAAAGATTAATCACAAAAGTATGTGTGTGTGTGTGTGTGTGTATTTATAAATAGGAAAGAGCTCACAGAGTAGGCAGTTAGACAGGAGCCGGTGATAAATAGGTGACACATTAGAAGCCTGAGGGTACAACATCCTGACTTTGTGGCTTCAACAACCTGGCCTTAGGGCTTCCAGCACTCCAGGGCTGACAGACCAGAGCCACAGGTGCAGAACATGCCTCTCCTCTTCAATCTCTGCCCCAGGGTAACCTATAGCTTCATTATGATTTATTTAAACTGTGGTTTCAAGACACCCACCCCTATGGGGGAAGGTGGCCAGGATAGTTGCAA